CTTCTTACCTATGTCGGCTCTAGACAGAACCGCCTGAATAACTTCCAGTCGGAGATTCCGCCTCCACCAGAGACTGATGAAGCGACGTACAACCAAATGTGGCAGAAGTACAAGGGACGAGAGCGTGCAAACCTCAGAAAGAGACGAGTCAGACTTCGCCAGGGTGATTTCCAGATCCTCACCCAGGTTGGACAGGGAGGCTATGGCCAGGTCTTCCTGGCGCAGAAGAAGGATACTCGGGAGGTCTGCGCATTGAAGGTGATGAGCAAGAAGTTGCTGTTCAAGCTTGACGAAGTTCGCCACGTGTTGACAGAGCGCGACATTCTGACCACTGCCAAGAGTGATTGGCTTGTGCGGCTTCTTTACTCATTCCAAGATGACAAGAGTATCTATCTTGCCATGGAGTATGTGCCAGGAGGAGATTTCCGTACCCTACTCAACAACACGGGCGTTCTGAGCAACCGTCATGCTCGTTTCTATATCGCCGAGATGTTCTGCTCCGTTGATGCTCTTCACCAGCTTGGTTACATTCACCGAGACTTGAAGCCGGAGAACTTCCTGGTCGATTCTACCGGACACGTCAAGCTCACAGACTTTGGACTAGCTGCTGGTATGCTTGCACCGGCCAAGATCGAATCTATGAGAGTCCGTCTCGAAAAGGCATCCGAGACCTCGGTGCCTTTCGGAAAGCCCATGGACAAGCGAACGGTGGCTGAGCGAAGGGAAGGGTACCAAACAATGCGCGCAAAGGATATGAACTACGCCAAGTCCATCGTTGGCTCGCCCGATTACATGGCGCCCGAAGTTCTTCGAGGTGACGAATATGACTACACGGTGGACTACTGGAGTTTAGGTTGCATGCTGTTCGAGGCTCTGACAGGATTCCCTCCCTTTGCGGGCTCCACACCTGACGAGACTTGGAGAAACTTGAAGCACTGGCGCGAGGTGCTCAAGCGTCCCGTTTGGGAGGACCCTAACTACTTCCTCAGCAACCGCACTTGGAACTTCATCACGACGTAAGTGGGCCCTGTCACGGTTGACATGTTTTGTGACATCATCTAACACCACGCTTTAGTTGCATCAACTCTCGGTCCAAGCGCTTTTCCAACTTCAAGGAGATCAACTCTCACCACTACTTTGCCGAGGTTGACTGGGACACGCTTCGAACCACTAAGGCTCCATTCGTGCCTGAGCTCGATTCAGAGACGGACGCCGGGTACTTCGATGACTTCAGTAACGAGGCAGACATGGCCAAGTACAAGGAGGTGCATGACAAGCAGCAGGCCCTCGAGACTATGGCGGACCGTGATGACGAGATGGGCAAGAGCCTCTTTGTCGGCTTCACATTCCGACACCGGAAGACTACGGACGACGCAAGTCCGCGCAAACCCATTCCCTTCAAGGAGGAGGAGGACACCTTCGGCACGATGCTGTAGGGCAGACCTGTGTGGAAATGGACGCAATTTAGTCGGCCAACAATCCGGAGAGGCTTCCTCTGAGAGTGGAACTCAAAGATTCTAATTACGATGATGATGAGACGGACGTCATTGGGGGAGCATAAGGCGGTGTTCGATGGGGGCGAGGGACTACTTGTATGAGTTTGGGACTGGACTGCCCTGCAGCAACGGCATGTTTGAGATGAGATTTCGGGCATTTCTTTTTGCGTTGGAGTTTGCAGATGGACAGGTTCAGGTTGACAGGCCTGCTAACACAGCATCAAGCAAGCAGGGTCTTTACTTTTCGGTTGGGATTAATTCTAGGGGATGGGACGGCGTTGCAGACGGCCGAACATCCGACACACACGTGGGACTAGAGACGATAGACACGCACAGAAACAATTGACATTTTCTTCCTATCACACATCCGGTCAGCTTACTTACCGACAATGGAGTGTCAACGCCGTCCGCGTCATCTTTTGAGGCTTGCGCGAAGCCCCGCGAGAGTACCTGCCTTAGTTGAAGCAGATATGACCAGCCTCGCCTCTCGGCATGACGGCAGCTAAGCCAACGATCGGGGCTGCCAAAAGCCTGACGGCGACGGTCTGTTTTTGGTGGTGGTGGTGGTGGTGGTGGTGGTGTGTCGATCAGCCGGCTCCGAGCGAGCAGCATAAGCACATACTCTGAAACAAATGCGATTGAGTGCGCTTCGACCCAGCTCGGTGGTCACGTTCCCTTTCGGCGCAAAGACAGTAATCATCATTCATCCTTTTTTTCTCTCTCTCTTTTTTTTTTTTTTTTATTTTTTTATTTTTTTGCTGACGCCGTTTTGGTTTGTTTCGTTTCTTCTCTTTCCTCGTCCCGATTCGAAGGTGCAGTGCAGTGTGCAGTGCGCGCGCTGCTCCCAACGAGCTGGGTCCGTTTGCAGCAGGAAGCAGAGGCAACCCATTCGGACGAAGAGAAGATGTCCAAGTGGCATACATCAGCCCTTTTTGTTTGTTTTATGACTCTTCGAAAACCCCGAATGGGTGGGAAACGTAGGCTTACGCTTTCTCGCAGGAAAGTACCTACGCCCAGAGAAACAATCAAGACGAGGAGGATTACCCTTCTCGCCGTTTGGTGTTTCCTCACTAAAGGTACCTTACCTTACCATACCTTACCTTATCCTTCTGATGGAGTTACCCGGGGGACCGAGAGCCAATGCGGTTGAAACGGAGGTTGGTGTTGATTGGCTTGGACTTACATGACGGATCGCCGAGCCGAACGCTAGCGGTGGTGGACCGGTGTTCCCCAAACCCCATCCCGGACGACTAATCCTTTTCCCTGTTGTGTCACATCACACATTTTACCTAGGTAGGTACTCCAACGCCCTTGACGACGATGCGCGACGACGACGACCCCCGTTGAAGCTAAGAGCTAAGCATACTTGCCGAACGAGCACACTAGTCTTTTGTCCGACTGCTGCAGCAGCTAAAGTCTGACTTTTTGTGGGCAAGAAGGCTCCTTGTGTCCATGAGGCAAACGCACCGCACACACTCGTGTAACTCACTGTTGTTCCCTCCTCCTCCTTTTTCTTCCTGGTGACACCGCCCGGGGCATCCTGCCATGTAGGGCCGCGCGGTTGGGCTTTGACCAAGGGATGGACAGGGCGAGAGACATGCGCAAGCTGAGGCTGTTCGGGATGTCGGTAAGGTAAGCAGACAAAGTTGTGAGATGGAGGGACACGGCTTTGGGAGGTGTGCAGCACTGAAAGAAATCCGAACACTAGGGTAGCCTGTGCATCCCGTGGGATCTGCGGAGGTTCCAAGACCTAGGTCACAACTGCGGTGTCCGTGGACTGTGGACGAAGGCGGCTCCTCGCCTCCACTCACATAGGAGGCACCAAGAAGGGGAGGAAACGATGCGCCAAGACCATGTCATTGCTTTTTGCCATGCGGCTGCTCGGGACCGAAGCTGTCTGTTTCTCCCCATGCCATGACCCATCAGCAGTACCTCATACGGCATTTGAAGTAAGACTAGCGGAGTAAGGCAAAGTGGTCGAAGGGGGGTGCGCGGGCGTGTGTGTGGAGGGCGAAGCAGAGAGAAGGCGGTCATGTCGTTTTCCATGAAATATAAAGACAAAGTCGTTGCTTCCGTTCGTCCATTGTCTGAAAGCTGTTTTGAACCATCACATCGGGATTGCATCTCATCTTCCTTCTTCCATCGCAACAAACATCAGCCAAACTCATATATACACACATTTAGAAACTGCAGGCGCAGGGATCCTTTTCTTCTCAAACTCTCACAACAAAAACAATCAAATCAATCAAAATGAAGGCCACTTTCGTTGCTGCTGCTTTGGCCCAGGGCGCCGCCGCTGTCGCCAACCCCTTCGGCCCCGGAAACGGCGGCTTTGGTAACGGTGCCGGCTGGGGTGGATTCGCCTACGGCGGTGGATTCGGCGGCTTCGGCCCCGGTGGATTCGGCAACGGCGTCGCATCATGCGCTGTAAGTCTAAGCTTTTGCGTTTTTCCCACTGTTCATCCCAACCTCTCGGTCCCAGCTTTACAGAAACTTCCGTCTCAAATCTCGTGAACTCTACCTACCTCTGAATTTCTTGGCTGACACACTTTCACCAGAGCTCCTGCTTCTCATCCCACTTCGCTACGGCAACCCCCACCCCCGCCGCCTTCTGCACCGACGCCCCGCAGCTCAACGACTGCGTAAAGTCCGCCTGCACCTCCGACGCCGCCGCCCTCTCCACCTACACCTCCGTCTCCTCCTCCGTCTGCAACGCCTTCACCTCGTGCGCTAGCACCAGCACCTTCACCTACAGCGGGGGCTGGTGGGGCGGTGCCTCCAAGACCGGCGACGCCGCCGCCGTTACTATCACCGGCTGCCCCGTCGACGGCTGGTGGGGACCCGGCGGTGCCTGGGGCGGCATGGGTCCCGGCTGGGCTTACAAGACCGACACCGTCACCCTCACCCGCACCGTTAATGGCGTCGCCACCACCGGCCCTGCCACCGTCGCCCAGGCCGTGTCTGGCAGCAGCACGCTGCTCACGACCTTCACTGGTGCTTTCGCCGCCCAGGCCACGAGTGGTTCCGGATCTGGGTCGAGCAATGCCGCTGCCCCTGCTGATGCCAACCGTGGTGTCTTGGCTGCCGGCGCAGCTTTGGGTGCTTTCGTTGCCGCTGTCGGCTTGATGTAAACAAGCTCACATTGAGTTTGTCACAGACGACATTTCCCTTGTACCTTATACCATAACCCCCCTTCCCTTTTGTTGTGTTTTTACAACCGGGATCTGCAAAAAAAGATGAATCGGAGAAAATAAGGGGGATGGGACAAGGTTTTTTATTCTTATGTCATCCCTTAATGACCTGGAGTTAATGATGGGGAGGATTGTTGATAAGGCTGGATACCTTTGTAACGTATATGATAACGGCATGTCTCTTGATGATGATGGGAGACGTCTACAGTCCTTACTTAGAACATAGTATAAGTCATGACCGGGTACGATGATTAAACATTATACCGAATCTGCAGGTTTTTGATTCTCAAACATAGGTGAAATAAACCTAGGATTTATCATCGCCTTTTCACCGCTCTGGTTGTACTTCATGAGTGCAACTTCCCAACCGATTATGATTTTCAATTATTCGCCGTGCGTATTGCTGTGCTCATCAATACCCAAACTCTGACCAATGCTGGAAGCCATTTGTTAGAAACGGCTCCGGACAGCCCCAGTTCTTCCGAAGATACGGTACATGTACCAGTTCTTTCTCCAGTTCTATCAGGTAGCAACCGTAGCACTGTGAGAATTCGCGTAGTGTTTCTTCTGCCATTTCCAAACGCTTGCAATTCCTCCCTGCTCCTGTGTCGATTTCTCCAAAATAAAACGGTCCAGCATCATCTGTAATTTGGTACGAACCGTAGGATGGAGGAGCGTAAAATACAGCATGCTTCAATTGCTTATGGATCGAGTGTTGCGGGGATAGGGAAGTCGTCTTAACAACATTCCTATCCTGGATTTGACGTTCTGATGCATCGTTGCCTATCTTAAATTAAGTACTTGGCACTAATCTGTCAACAAAATTGGATTCTGCTTACCACCAAAAGAGAATATGTTCGAAGAAGCGCGCAGAAAGGCATCACGTGTGACTGCTATCTGTCGCTTGTTGCAAGACGAGCTAAATTGGAATCCGTTAGACGAAACTTAAGATGGGATCCTTGCTACGGCCGCTTTCGTGTTGCTCCAACTTCGAGAAGTAAAACCGAAACTCTCTAAAAGAACACATCGAGACGCTGAGAGGACGGCTGGAAAAGATGATTGCATACTTACCAGAGAGCGTATTCGTTCAGATCGTCACAGACCATTTCGCTGCCACAATCTGTGCAAGTGTTGGTGATGACGGACATTTGAATGGTCATACCGTCCTTCACACAGCAAGACCAAGACTCTTGGGCGAAGAATCCAGAAGGGGTTCTTGAGTCAGCAACGCAGTAAAACCCGTTCGCAACAAGATTCTCCCCTGGGCAGCCTCGGAACCACACTTGGATCGTCTTATTGGAATCCTAGTTTTAATGTACTCTGTAAGTTTTTTTCACTCTCCTCTCTCCAACATCAAAAAAGCGGAAGGATGTTGATAATTGCTTACGTCCCAAGACCTTCCACATTCGTACGGTAGAGTTGACTTTCGCCCCAAAGCATCTATGAGTTTGATCCCACTTTGCAACGGAGATCGGATAACAACAAAGTTAATCTTTTTGAAACCGTAAGAGCGATCCTTTGATATCATTTGACCATCGCTAATGATAGTAGGCATCTGGGTTTGATCAGTGTCAGAGATGGCTGTAGAATTTTGAGATAGACGAGAAGGTTTCTTACATAGCAGCTCTCAAGATACCTCCCAGCCCCGTCGCAACTTGCTGACTGTGCTGGAGAATAGATGATAAAAGCTCCAGATCAAGACGATTCTCGATTGTCGTATCTTTGGTGTTTGGCAAAGACTTTGACCAGGATGCTAGCTGTCTGAGGTGCTCATCTTGTACTTCAGACTGGGTCTGTATGATTTCGAGGATAGGGGGAATCCTCATAACCTGTTCATGGTAGCCATCCAACTTGTTTACACGGGACTCAAAGAGCTGAAGGATATTTTTGATTTCTTGATTCGGGTTGTATGATTGCAACTGCGCCTTCATGGTATGTTCCATCTGACGCTGAAAATCCGATGGTAATTTGGCGCAAATAAGTCTGCGGTCAATATATAAGCCTCAAGCCTTTCAATCCAGAACATTCTAGTATTTAGCTACGCACAAGATGTAGTTCATTAATTTGATCTGCAACGTCGATAACTCAGGGCCGATCTTTGCGCGGAGGCACTGGACCTTCTTCGAAGCTGAGAGCGCGTACTGTATCTTGCGTGCCAGGGCTGTGGCCTTGCTGGATGTCGAGGAGGGGCTCAAAGACTCCCCATAGTCTTTCCGCATGGCTTCTAGAAACTGACCGATTTCTTTTTGAAGATGTTCAACGTGGTTGCTGACACCCTGGAGAAGCTCCGGGTGTGGGGATGTGGTCTGAATGCCGTCGAGTGTCCGGAGCATTTGAAGCGTAGTCAACGCTTGATCAAGGAACGTAGTGGCATCTTGATAGTCGATTTTGGAGCCCCCAGAGTCTTTAAGAGCGATGCGGACCTTGTTGAGTAGTTGAAGTGCTGCAACGATGTCTCCGGCGGACCAGCCAAAAGACATTTTGGCAATGAGCCCTGGTCGCGGGCTCTGATCTTCTCGAGTGTCGGGCGACTGTAAAGATTTGTCCATGCCAACTTTTGTTCCAATAACTACTTCTACAAAACATCCCTGGTCTTTCGGGACCAGATGTCTTCATTTTTTTTGATGTACAACCCCCCAAGTCTCTATCAATACAACAGCCAGGCACTCTAGGAAGCCGAGCACGAGCGTACACATCTCACCTCCGGTTCGTACCAGAAACAAGCAAAACGACACTCCCCAACTGCCTCCTCAAATCCTCCTTCTCAACGTCATGCGTATCCTCCACCTCACCCCACGACCCAGTCTGCCACGTAACCTCCAAACTCAACGCCGTAGCAGCCTCCTCGACACCAAACTTGCCAACCTCCTTACCCGCATTCCGATCGCGACACTCCCCAACAGGACCCTCACTCCACTCCACAACCAGCCTCGCCGCCCCCAAAAGACTCTTCCCCGCCAACACAGCCCTCTCCAACCCGGTAAGCTCCCATGCATCAAGCCCCATAACCCACCCCTGCACAACCTCCCGCACCCCCTCCGCCTGCCTCTGCGGCACGATGCTATGCCCGTCCAGCACCGGCTTAATCTCGATGCCCGGCCACACCCGCCCCGTCATGGCGCCCACCACCGCATCCGCCGTCCGCTTCTGCACGTCACGCAGCGATTCGCCGGCGTCGTTACGCGTGTCCGTCGCGCCCGCGGGCGGCGCCCAACAGAGCACCGCATCCGTGTCGAGGTACCGCATCAGCATGGTCGTCACGGTCTCGCGGATTTTCCCGTCGTTGGCGGCGTCGTCGGCGGCGATGTCGATGGCGCGGCAGATGAGCGAGGTCAAGGGGATCAGATGCTGCTTCGTCGCCTGCTCGGCTGAGGTGATGAAGTCCCATTCGATGGCGAGGGCTGAGGCGAGGTGTTGCTTCGAGGGCGGGAGGCGGATAATTTCCTTGGTGTTGGGGTGGCGAAGGGGACGGGAGTCGAGGTGGACTTGGAGGGCGCCTGTCATACTGTCGTGAGCTTCGTGTCTCCGAGCAACTCAAACGCACTAGATATCAAGACGCGAATGTAGAGACATACCATCAACCTCCTGCACACTAACATCATTCCAAAACCTCCTCTTCAAAGCACCCGGCTTACTCGACTTGGCCTCCGCCGACGTCCGGATCCGCTTGGCGTGCTTAAGCATCTCAGCCTGCTTCCTCCTCCTCTCGACACGGATTCGCGCCGCGGCGGCCCGGTCCTCGGCAGCGATGTCAGCAATGGGCGGTTCCGGCGGCGGGCCGGTGCCGACCACGGGCGCGACCTCGGCGGGCTTGAGGGGCGTCGTCGAGATGGCGCGCGCACCGAGGGCGCAGGACCGTCTGGCTGACGAAGCCAATGGCGACGAAGCCGTCGCCGTGAAGAGACGAAGGGGAATGCGTGTTGACGGCTTCATTGTGATAGTAGTTGCAGCCCCTTTCGTTGGTTGTCACAAAAACGACGTTGCGTGAATGTGGTGGATTGGAGCTATGGGAGCGAGCTGCAGCCATAGATTACAAGTGGTCGTTGATTTAATTTTTGGGAGCTTCGCGGCTAGCCCCGGTTGGTTATACAGGGGTTTGATTGGCCTATGCCTAGCGTGACATCAGAGTGCGGAACGGTCTCGGGAGGTGAGCTCGGTGAAGGCTCGGTGTACGAGGTTAAAAAATTCAGGGGTCCTCACACGTTCTGAAAAGTGACCAGTAACTTGTTAGATCTCTCAAGAATTGTTGTCTTAAACTGTCAGAACTCGGCTACGCGCCTCGCTATACATCTACGCCAAGTTGTACCAATACAAACTTTTCAATCCCTCGCCCAAATCCATTAGTAAGGCGGCTTCGTGACGTTCCCTAAACTGAGCTCTCCTGCTCTGCTGTCAATCCCATTAATAAGGTCGTGTAAATCCATCCCTCCTCCAGACACCATTGACATGGTCCCATCTCCTCTCGTGGAACCGTGGTATAAACTGTCGCCACCGCGACTGCTAAGCGCTCGTTTCGCTGGCTTCACTGCGTAATCCTGGATAGAAACCGAGGACGTCAGACCGCCAATGTGACCGGGCAGTGGCGGCACTGGTGGAACGTCCTCGTCTTCGTTGTGCTCGTACAAAGGGTTGGAGTTGAGGGGCCCACCCTTGCGTGATGCCGATGAAGACCTCTGCCGTCCAAGAGAGGCTCCGTCGCTGTTTTCTGGCTGAGATGTCGCCGGGTTGAAGCTGAGCTCTGAAGGGGTAAAGTCGTAGCTGACCATGCTGTCGCTATCGCTGTCATGGCGCACGCCAGCTGACGTGCCAATGGGCGTCGCCGGCACCTGGCCCGTCAAGACCATCTTGAGTTGATCAATGGACGTAACTACACCTCGGCTTGAGTCTGACGGTGAGGGCGAAACGCCACTTCGGACACTGGATTTGCGCAGCTTGCTCATGGGAGACAAGCCCCCGGGAACCTGGGAAGAGTTCGGACGAAGATTCCGCTGGCTGCCAAGCGGTGAGGACTCTCCCGTTTGTCCATGCCCGTTAGCGCCATTAACAGTCAGGTGGTGTCGGTTGGTTCCCATAGTGCCACTTTTCGAACCAGCTAGCGATTCTGACTTGCTTCCCGCCTGCAAGGCTAGCATAGCCGCATCTCTCGACCAGTCTGTCAGCATGTGCTCACGGAACGCAGTTGGTAGCTCCGAGCCGGGCGCCGCGGGCATTGTTGAAATCGAGGTGCTCAGAATGGGATGAGAAAAGTTCCGCCCGGGAGATTGAGGAGGACTGCTCGGTGGTGAGATACTGGTGTCTGCATAACTCACGGCGATGCTCTCTACAAACGATGCGCGGTCGTCGAAGGGCAGCAACGCTTCACTCTCAACTTCTGTGGCGGGCAGCTTGGTCTGCAACTTGGGAACTCCGGGCGTTCCAAGAAGCTCTAGAGCAGGCGGAGGGATGGCCACGCCTTCGGTCCAGAAATGCTTGCTGCGTCTTCGGATGACTTCGTTTGTGATGGCACGTCCCACAGCAGAGTTCTCGATGTCGAACTTCTCGGTCACAGCCCAGAAGTAGCCGTGGCAAAGACTGCCAAGGCGAACCTTTTGCACTGGCAGCTCTGCGTCTGGAATATCCTCCTGAAGACGAAAGACCATCGGTAATCCGTACTGGACTGCATTGACACCCAGCTGGGATACCAGTTTGGTAAGCAACACATGGAGAAGAACGATATCCGGGTCATAGTCGACGTATTGCAAGGCATTGTCGTAAATTGCAATGTGCAGAAGTTGGAGGAAGTGCGAGCGGTGTCTCGATGGTTTCTCGCGGTTGGATGCGTTTGATGCGGCTCGTTGAGCAACATTGGCAGGTTGAAGCTCGCGGCTATTCTTGAGAGAAGACCGGTGGTGCTGTGCGCTTTCGTCTCGCGCCTTCCAGTCGGCCGCTGTTGTCTCGCGGTCCAGCCAGGTTAGAAGCGCATCGGCGTAGGCTTTCCTGACCTCGCCATCTGGATCCCGCAAAAGCCAGTGTGTGTTCTCCCAAACTCGGATAGGAACTTTGTTTCTCGACAGGTTCAGGTTGCCGGACATCTGCGCACGCGGATTCGCAACCAAGAGGATGTATTTGATGGCCTTCAGGGCAGCCGTCTTACCCACATTACGGGAAAGGTACGTTTCCAGCTGAGGCTGGCTGGCAGCCATATCGTCGGAGGAGGGCTGCTCAGAGGTTTCGGCCTGTGGCGATGAGCTAGTACTCGAGGATTTGGACGGCTTGAGTCGGAGAAGGATCGTTGAAATCATGTCCGAAATCTGGTCTGCGTAGTAGACGTGTGTCGCCAGGTCGCCAATGCAGAGCTGAATTCGCTCGAGGAGTTCTCTTCGTTGGGCGAACACGTCACCAGATCCTTGAAGAGTAGAGAGTGCTTCTTCGGGCTCTCCCTCAGTTCTTCCAAAGCCTCCGGGTAGCTGTATCAGCTTCTTCATGTGCTGAACAAGGCCGAGCAAAACGTCCATGGCGCTCAGCCCAATCAAGTTGACGTCGGACCGCAGCAGGGACCCAATCATGGCCGTTAGAGATAGATGAAGCTTGAGGTTGTCGTCCTTGACGGGTGCTTTCGACAGGTGATCCATAGCCGTCACCAGAATGACATAGCGGTCCTGCACAGGCGCCCATCTCGCGATTGCGCTGTACATGCTTATTGCCCATCCGTGGTCCTGGCCTAGTTTCTCGTCCGGCTTCACAACTGTATTTCCGTTCGCGATGCGATCCTCGATGAATTGGATAAGAGCCCCGGTCGCGGAGTGGATCTGTGGCCGATTTGGTGCCACAAAGATCTGCTTCAGGCACTGCATGGCAAGCACACCGACGTCCTCTTCCGCCAGTCTATCCACATCGTGAGCAGTGCCTGTAAGAGCGATGGGGTTGGCGTCGCCAGTATCATTGGTTTCCACAGTTGCGGCACTCGTCCTACGGCGAAGCTTCTCTGCTTGTACTTTTTCTTCCATTTGTATCCGCGACAGCAAGGTGTCGAGCAACTCGTCGTCATCCCACCATAGGTTGTCCAGAATAACGGGAACGATCACGTCGAACTGGCGGCCAGTGACAGTCGATAGAGCTTCCGAAGAGGAAACGCTCCTGATTGCTTCGAGACCAGCGTTCCTCCATCGCATCAGCACAGGCTTGCTAGAAGCTCCTTTCCCAGGGTTTTCGCGGGTCGAGGCAAGTGAAGCGTATGTGCGGACGATCGATTCGTATTGAGCGAGATAAGCCTGGTCTGCGAAGGAAGAGGAGGCATCGTGGTTTTCGCAAAAGGCCTCAAAGGTAGGAATAGAGGATTCGACCATGGTGATATCCTTGGATCCGAGGATGAGGTCGAGAATTTTGAGCACATTAGGAGCTACAAGCGGCAGATCCTTGGGGGCCTTTTCGATCAGTGCCGTAAGGATTCGAAGGGTGACTTGCACATTTCTGAAAGACGTTTGGTAAGCAAGGCGATCTCTCGATAGCTAGGGGGCTTCACAAACCCGATGCGCTGCCGCCAGACATCGCTTGCCGTCTTCTTCTCCAAGAAGGCGCCAATTTTCTGGATCTTGGAACGGCGGGAGGTAGCGTAGAACAGCAGGTAGCTCAGCTCGCTAGAATTCGGTTTGACATCAACAGCGCCTTTGTTGGTCCTTGGGTAACACTTGAGGACCAGCACTTGGTGCTTCGGTCGACATTTTTGCTGGATCGCGTTCATGGCGCCGGGGTTATCGGGGCCCGATGAGCGAGGGAAGTCGGAGGACTACCTGTTGGCGGGTAGTAGATGATGGGAACGAAAAAGCATCGAGGTTGGAGAAAGGAAGTGAAAGGCGTCGCGTCAGGTTTGGAAAATTAGTCGCCGTCTTCGTCGGTTTGAATCGCGAAAAGCAAGGAAAGAGTGAGGCATTGGACAAAGTCAAAAAAGAAAGGGAGCAGGCGTAACGGAGAAGCCAGCGAGCAGTAATTTGGGTGTGGCAGACAAGAGACCCGACAGAAACAGATTCCAGTCAAGGCCCGGCCAGGCTAAGCCAGCACGGGGGGCTTCGACGGGGGGGTCAGCGTGGACGTGCTCCGTCAGGTACCTTTACCGCGAGGGTTAATTGAGAATTTGAGATGGGTACCTTACCATGTGTGTACCGCACAATCATCCATGCCAATGGAGAAAGCTGGGCCTGTGAGAATCTTGTACTTTTCCAGGCTGGGTTACTGCCTAGGTTTGCCCACCAACCTCCCAGCTCCTCTCTTGGGCTGGCTCTACTTCCACTATTCCCAATACTATCATCGTTACCTATTTTACTATTGTCATCATTATGATTTTTCCGTACTGCACTCTTGTAAGCATATACTACATGGAGTATACTCGAAATAGAAAGTAGTGAAAGTAATAGTAGTAGTAGAGATAGCAGTAGTGATAATGATGGCAGTCGGAACAGTTGTAATAGAACCAAAGTGCTTTACGTTGAGCGGCAAACTATTGTGTCTGGGTGCTTGACTGGCTCGAGGAGTAAGTGGTGCAACTGCGACGGGACTTGATCGTTGTGAAATGGGCCGAAATTGCTGTCTGCACCGCACCACCTTCTCACTTTATTGCCAACCTGCTGCGGACTGCATCGTCTTCATCATTTTTTACCCAATCCATCCACCCGGCCTTCGCCATGTGGCCTTACGACCCATCCCGAGAACGAGGGCAATGCAACTCGATGAAATACCAGTGTCGCTGCCTCTGGGTGAGAGTTCATATTCGAAGACGACTAGAACATGGTTTCTGCTCGCTGGAAGTTCGTACAAGTCGAGATAACATCAAAATTGAGCAATCTGCTGGGATTGCCAGACACACGTGGAAGAGGAAAATGCGATGAGAGATGAGATTACGAACCCAAGAGGGACAAGTTCCTGTGTGAATAGGGAAATGGCAATCTCGGGGGAACCGCCCCAGGTCCGACAGACCGGCTCCCAGCGGGATACGCGTTTGCTGTTTGTTTGGTGCGATTTGCAGGAGTGAGGTGGCTGGGATTCTCACCTAGGTATCCGTAAGATATACGCCGCCTGGCCTGAGCTCTCGAGTCCCCCTGCAGCCCTGTGGTGAAGGAGGGGCAAAAGGGGCTTGTATCGATTTTATACAGTATCCATGTACCATCCTCATGGTGTTCGTACAGGGCAAAAGCTCGACGGCACCCCAATACATGTGATACTATTAAACGTCTACTGAGGAATGGTCGATTGTCGCCGCGTTAGTCCACCCAGGTATGAAAGCATGCTTCTCATCAAATTTAAAGACACGAGGAAAATCTGGCATCAAAGACACAACAAATGCCGTCCGGCACTGACACGATTGTTCAAGCTTTATTTACCTTCCCGCAATGCGCCAACACAACCTAAACGCGGGACATGTGCATCTCACGAATGCAAGCCCTGTATTCGAGTTGAACAGCAATCAATGAAGCTGCTGTCAAGCGAGGCATTCGCAGATGAATGAAGCCAGCGCGGTGCCTTGATTGTTTCTTCATAATTCATGCAGACGCACTTGTCATTGGACGCATGTTTCACATGCCATTCATCCCCCAAGTCCCTGAATGCCCTATCCATACCCTGGTATATACTGAGACCTGCGGCGGGCGAACTCACGATGCCGCAGCTCCCAGACACTGACTGACTGGGCCAAAACAAAACAGCGATCTCCCCCGTCTATTTTGGTCTTTTTTGCGTCGCTTTGGAAGACGGGAGAATGCGGTCCACCGTCCACTCAGGGTTGTCTTTGCGGTGTTTGGGACGGACAGGTGCCTGGGATGATCCCGCCCCCTCGGAGAGTTCCAACAAGGTGCTCGGACACTTGCACACAGGCCCCAATCATGCCCGCCTATCTGCACGTCTGGGAAACCTGGAAACCTTGTCTAGCTGACTTCAGGCAAGGCGAGAAATCGACAGCAGTGCTACCCAGCCAGCTCCCATGAGTCGAGCGTCGAAACTCGTCAAGATTTCTTCATGTGCTCGATCATCTGGGCCCAAGTGAGGAGTAATAACTGGACGGAAGAAACAGAGGCATGTGGAAGAAGGTCAAAATTCACTTGTTCAAGAATCCGTACATTTCGCGTCATTTCCTAGGTTCTGACGGCCTTACCTAACAAATACGTCTTTTTGACCCATCCAGCTCAGTCGTCACCGCCGCCGTCCCATCCGTCTGATGTCGTCAGCACTGCACCCCTTCTAGCTTTCCTGCATGCTCAGGTCCACCGTCGTTCAATCTGTCCATGTGGGACACCTTGACTCCGATTTCATCCTCACGCCCGACCTCACGATCGGAGCCTGCTCAAGGGGCGGTGCCTTGGCAGTAGTCGCCTCGCAGGCTCACGTCAAGTTTCGCTCCTCAACCGAAATGCACGCTCTCGCTTCCACGCTTCCAACGAAATTTTCTCACAGAATTTCTCTGTATCTGCCAGCTCAGCAAAAAAGGCCTCCACCTTGGATCCAGATTCACGAACCGTCCGGGAATAGCCTCCTCCAACCCGTCGTACATAAAGTGGGAATAGCTCCCCATATCCAGTTCGTCCGTGGACAGCCCGCCGCCTACACCACTTTGGGCTGTCACTTGCATGTAGGTAGGTGCCAACGCTGCCCTAATAGGACGGGCTGTCAAGCAGAATGACGGATTCTTCAAGCTGGCCTGCCAAGGTACTTTGCGATAGGTGTGCACCCTTCGCCCACGACCAATCACGATGCAGCCCGTCCGCATTACGTGCCGCTGCTCCGCATCCCCCGTGATGGCCGGAGTCTTTCGAGTCCGAGAATCCCGAGGCGGCCCATCCTATGACCGGCATCACCTGCAGTATGGCATGGGACCTTCCGGCCCTTCGAGGCTTCGTAAGCATCTCACCAGGAACGTTGACCCTGGACGCAGATGAATATCACTGGTGTTTGGAGCCCTGCCGCAGCGTCACAGAATACTGGCAACATTCGCAAGCACTTGAACAGCTACATGTTCCAAGATGTATCGAGCGAAGAGTAGTACACAATGGGATAATTATCCAGTCTGTCGCAGCGCCCTTGGTGTCGTTGGGCGTAAGAGTCAGTGTTCATGTTTATAAGCGTCCATCTCTTTCAGTATCCGCACCCACGGACACTGGCAGAATCGAGGGGGGTCATCTGTCGCTAACGTCAAACAAGTGTTTGGATACGACGTCACACCTGTCTAGAGAGAGGTAGTTGGGTTGTCAGTCGATGATTGGTCCTCAAGCAAGTGCAACGCACCCCAGACAACTCAACCTTGCTGGTGGAGCTCGTTCGACGATCACAGATCTGAAGATGACAGTGAAGCTCACCGAGCTACACCGATGACATCCGTAGAACATGATAGGAAAGAGTATGCGAGCCAATCTTATATATATTCGTTTCTCTTCTTACAGTCAGCTTAGCTTCTTTTGCGATGACGTAGCCGAACGGTGTTTACCGCGAGAAATGAGGTGGCTTTCTGAACCCGTCTCTATCATCCAAGTCCGGGAGGCTCAAGTAGCCACATGTCGGACCCATCTTGAGCTGAGAGAACCGACCCGGCGGTAGATACCGCTGCACTGCTCTATTGAGGAACTTCATCCTCTCACCTCGAAAGATGCTAGTGTCAAGATTCTATGGCTGCAAGAGGTGACAAACTAGCAAATTGAAAACGAGAATCCCATGCCTTTTCCAGCCAAACAAGGCTTTTGAAGCATTGATATTGAGATGTTCATCCAGAGCAAAGTTGCCAAGATATCTACCTTAGTGGCCCATTAAGCAATGGGAGATCCAGCAAAGCGGGAACCATGCGCCGGCCGGGCCGTTAGTCGCCGGCTTCGGGGCAATGTCTCACATTTCCAGAGAGCGCGGTCTCCGTGCCTTTGACCGAATTCCTGCGACTAAGGAAGGATTGACGATCATTTCTTCAAGCAAATATTCAACTACCATAACATCATCATAGTCGCAATTTTGATTCCAAGTCTACCAGTGGTCTCGCGAGTCGTTGGCCAGAACCTCACGTGGAAGTCCACATGGGAAGAAAACCTAGGCCCCAGGAAAGAGGTCGCATGCAGCAAGCAAGCTGGTCCATTGCCCGTTTTCTTTGTGTAACTCTAGCCAGCTGGAGTAAGCCAGGGTGGAGATTGAAGAACATCCAGAGACTTTGCCACGCGTGCTGAGGTACCGGCCATGGAATCTAGCCAAGGAACCGGAAGTCGGGATGAAGATGTTGGTGTTGAGCCTACCGCAAGCAGAGTGCTGTAGTAGGGGACGGCAAATGGAGGAGAGACATGTTCCTCTTTATGAGGTCGTCTTCTTTGAGCCCCAACCAACGCCAACGCCAGCTAGCGCGTGTGCATGCAGCAAGACTCAAGACACTCAAGACTCTCATGGAGCCTTCACTTCTCTTGCGCTCCTTCCTCGAATGGCTCTGCCACGGATACCTCTGGTTAGTACCTACTCAAAAAGTCGAATCCACCAACTCATCCCCAGAAGCGACCACGACCTGGACCGGGACCGGGACCCACCAAGGTCAAGCCGGAGCTGCTCTGCCTTACACTAACGACCTAGAAGCTGGAGATTCCGTGTAGCTTTCTTTTTCCACACCTTACCTTCCTCACCTTACACCCACTTCCTTCCTTCTTTTTATCCGCTGGGTATCCCCAATCCACGGAGCCTCATCTCTTTTTCCCCCTTCTTCAAGGTTCTCTTCAGCTTCAACAATCCTTTTTTCGGGACCTTCCCACCTTTACCTTCTTTACCCTTTCTTCTTCAGTATCTCATCGCTGGGTTTATTGCATCTCATTCAAGCCTAACAATACCACAACGAGGGCACCGGAAGCTGCTCAAGATGAAGTCTGGAATCTTCATCGCCTTCACTGCCGCTGGCGCGGCTGTGAGCTCCGTCACGGCCTTGTCCTTCCCTCGCGCTGCTGAAGGCCAGGGATTCATCGCCATGCCGGTCAGACAGGTCAGACCCGACTACAGTCACCTTAGCAAGCGAGAGGCCATCGAGGTCACCCTCAAGAATCAGCAGTTTTACTACTCGACTGACAGTGAGTAATTTTTTTTCTGCTGCTTCTTACCCCTTTGAGCGAACTGACACGAAAAAAAATAGTCTCGATCGGCACTCCTGCCCAGCAGGTGACTATCCTGCTCGATACCGGCTCCTCTGAGCTCTGGGTCAACCCGGACTGTTCCACCGCTCCTTCTGCCGCCCAGGCAAAGGAGTGCAGCAGCGCTGGCATGTACAACCCGTCCAGGAGCCGCACTCCGGCCGTTGGCCCTATTGGAGCTCGAAGACTCTTCTACGGAGACGCTTCGGACCCCAATACTCAGACTAGCGCCGAGATCGCTTACTACGTTGACACCATCACTATGGGCGCTGGTGCCATTGTCAACCAAACCTTTGGCGTTGTCACCAAGAGCGATGGTATCTCTACCGGCATCATGGGCCTGGCTCCCGATCTCAAGGCTGGCTACGAAAAGGGCAAGCCCTATAGTCTGATCCTCAACACTTTGGCTGATCAGGACGTCATCGGCAGCCGTGCCTTTTCGCTTGATCTCCGTCACGCTACTTCTGACTCTGGAGCGCTCATCTACGGCGGTCTCGACAAGGGCAAGTTCATCGGAGAGCTTCTGCAGGTCCCCATGGTTAATGGCATGAAAGGCGAGCCTCGGTAAGTGAAGGCCTCTGGCTCCTGTCTTGTTGATTGAAGATACAACCAGGCCCTCGTACTGACTTACAACTCCAGTCTCGCAGCTGAGCTTTCCTCTGTCGGTATGACTCTGCCCAACCAACCTACCAAGTTTTACGACATCAGCGCGGCCGACACGAACGTTATGCTCGATTCGGGTACTACTCTGACACGCCTTCATCCTGCCCTCGCGCGTCCTATTCTCGCGGACCTCAAGGCAGTGAGTGACAACAACGGATACTGGATCGCCGACTGCTCCTACCGCACCCCGAGCCTCGCCAACGGCGGCAGCGACTCCTACATGAGCTTCACCTTTGGCAAGAAGACGATCCGCGTGCCCTTCAGCGACTTCATACTCGACATGGGCCCCTCTGATGGCCAGTGCTACGTCGGTCTCGTCGTTACCACCGACCAGCAGATCCTCGGCGACAGCATGATGCAGGCCGGCTACTTCGTCTTCGACTGGGACAACAAGGCGATCCACATGGCTCAGGCCGCTAACTGCGGCAAGGAGGAGATCATCGCCATCACCAACGGCGAGAACGCCGTCCCCAGCGGCATCGTTGGACTCTGCAACGGACCTGCCACCCCGGACGGCAGCGTCGCGCCCGCGCCTGGTGCAGTGAGTTCTGCAGCTCCTTCTTCTTCTGCTACTACCACTTCCCCGTGGCTGTTCCCCGACGCGCCGACTGGCTCGACTTACACAAACCCCCCCGTTCCGACCCCGATGATTTTGACTCTCTCTGATTACGACTCATTGACGTCCTCCATTCAGTCGTCCCCCTCCGCGACCGGTAACACGATGCCCGCTTCGTCTCCTACCTCCGCTGCGGCCACTGGCGGCGGTGGCTCCCCGACGACTACCGGCACGACGACCGCTGCCCCGACCGCGGCCGAGCCTTCCTCGTCGAGCTCCTCCGATTCTCACAATGCCGCCCCGTCCCTTTTGGGCAGCGACCAGGTCTTCATGGGCTTGTTCATGAGCATCTTGGCCATCTTGGCCACCACGGCTGCGTTCTAAGTCTGACTTTGAATAATTTTGGGAACACAACAGGAAAAGGCTAAGGATACGATACCCCTTTTGTTCAGGTTTCAGGTTTCGGGAGGCATTCTTTGGGGAATTCCCATTACTACTTTTGCATTCACAAGAACGGCATGGAACATTTGGGGATGGGAAGGAATTAATGGAAACCTCCTTCTCTTCTTGTTCTGTCTCATCTGTCACGGACGAGACACACACACAGAGAGAGAGAGAGAGAGAGAGAGAGAGAGAGAGAGAGAGAGAGAGAGAGAGAGAGAGAGAGAGAGAGAGAGAGAGAGAGGTATGAATTTTCCCTAGCTAGCTGGCCAAGAGCTTTGAAAAACGGAACTTTCAAAGCTGGGAGGTGTGGCTGGAGTCTAGCTAGGACGTTACTGATGACCCGTTATGATACCAATGACAAAAGGCCTCTTCTGTCTTCTTTCGGGGTTTTTTGTCTTCTTCTCATTAGGAGGAGATTTCAAGACCAAAAACAAACCGGAGGGGCCTAAACTTTTTCCAATTCAGGAAAGTTGCACAACCACCTACTCCTTGCCTGTTTCCCCCCAATTGTTTCTTTACTAGACTGTGACTGCGACCTGGGAGTGGCAACACAAAAACGTACATATTTCATCACACCGGCCTGGAATATGTCTGTGTTCAGTCAATTTTGTGTGACGAGCCTTCACCACAGAGACAAGCACTAGAAACCGGGGGGCGTTGGCCGACTACTACTGTGTAGCCGAATAGAACTGCGTCGGGACTAACTCCGGGAAACGCCGTTGACCTTGGAGTGTGCCTACCTATCTACCCATCCTCTCTCTCTCTCTCTCTCTCTCTCTCTCCCAAGCTCGCTCTTTGCTCTGACGTAGCTGTCTCTAATGTTTTCTCTGTCTGGGTGTGCCAACCTCAAGTGCCAAGCTAATTGAGCATCCCGGTCCTAGGCCCCCCTCCGTTTGTATGACCGCAACCCGGTGAGACATCCATCCCAGACCACATCCGGCTCTTCTCAATGCTTACCTATGCGCCGTTCCGGGACCCGAAGATGTGGATGACAAGCATGGCAAGCTATCCAAGCACGCAAGTTGAGGTAAGCCACAATTCATAAAAATGAACCCCCGGAAGCAGAATACACCGTCCGTCAAATGTCTCACTCCCCCATTACGGGAAAAGTGCCAGTACGTAAGGCAAAGCCATCAAATCCAGGGCTCAGGTCTCCCTTCTACTACCGTCTTCTTCCCTATTTCCCGCCGGTGGCACCATTTCCTCAAGTCCAGTTGCAGAAAAAAGGCGTTTGTGCGAGTTCAAAAGTAGTTCAACCCCGAACGCCCCTAAAATTCCCGAGATGCTGGACGGTGGAAGCTCTTCTTATTCGTCAATCCCCGAGTCGAGACACGTGTCTCAATCCCCGGGGAGGGAGAGAGCTCACCACCTTTCTTGGCCTGTCTGCCTCGCACGCAGCTTGAAGCCAATAACCCCATCGAGATCCGTTACGAAAGTGCGAACTTGCTTTCGGCGAGTACGCCGCGATTTTGCAGACGGTCTTTGAAAGGCTTCACATCAGAATGGTAAACAACATGAGACTGTAAACTGGGGGAAATTTTCCACTATGGACTTAGTAACTGCTCTATGTGCAAACAATCAATGCCAAATCATCAAGACTGCCGAAACAGCCGCGCTGTTCCCAAATTGCCCTTGGGTAAAGAGCGAAATTACCCCTCTGATGTCTTTCCAGCCTCGCCGTCGCTGGAAGCTTCACGGTTTCTTCTTGAAGCCGGGAAACCATGAAGCATTGAAAATTGAGAAAAAAAAAAAAAAGCAAAGACGATCGCGCCCCCAGTCTCCCCAGCGAGCTCTCGGAAATCAGCAGGTTCCGCAGAAGAACACCATGAATCTAAGGTTATATGCCCCAGTATCATCTCCTTCGATGATAGAAAAACGCAAAGTTGAAAAAGTACTGTTGTCCGTCTGGACGGAATGCTGTAAATGGCTAGGCTTTGGTTCTGCGCTTCTTGACAGCGCGAGTGTGAGGAGCCTCACTGTAGGAATCGTCGCTATCGGCCACAGAGCGCTTTGTGGTACGCGAGCGTGTGATACGGTGCTTGGGAATATCGCTCTTTTCTGCAGGGGTTTTGGCTCCAGGCAAGGGGCTGGCGGGAGCAGTTGTCGTCATGGCTCTGCCACCTGCGACAGTCTTGGTCTTGTTCTTGCTTCTGACCACACAATTTCGAGCCTCAGCCGGTTGCTTGAGATCCGTAGTCAAGCAGATTCTGCAAAACTTTGTCTGGATCTCTTTACTGTCGTCGGGCTTGGGGTAGTCCCAGACCTGTGATACCGACGGAATGGTGCTCTTCTCGATAGCGTCATCTCGGGCTTGAGGAGTGAAACTCGGGTGCGTGAGGTCGATGTTTCTACAAGTCAGAGCGAAGCGACGCTTTCCCTTTGGGTCGACCTTGTGCTGCTGTAATGTTAGAACCTGTGCTCAAAGTGATCTTAGACGCACTTACCAGATATTTCTCATGAATGCGGGAGCCATGCATGACCACGATGTCACCATGGTACAGAGGGAACTTGAGAACCACCGGCCGGTACTCCTCATCCTTCTTCGTCTTCTTTGTTCTCTTCGCATTCTTTGTCTTCTTGGCAAAGAACATGATGGCCGGGCTTCCCAAAGAAAGTGTGGCTACCGTAGGGCCCAGGGTATCTTCGCCATCATCATGAAACTGTAAAAGTCAGCTTTAAGTCCACAAAGATTTCAGAGAGATACTAACGCCAATCTTGTCTTCCTCCATATAACCGATTGACAACAGCTCATTGAAGTTGGTGAAGTCGGCAGTGATAGACGGGTCCCGAGTCAGCTCGGTGTGTCGAGCGCGGCGGTCAACAGTTCCCAGGACTTCGTTCGACATCTCAATCGATACTCGACCAGCCCACTCCATCCGCTTGAGGGCTCCGATGAATGCCTCAGGGGCCTCTGAGAATGGCTTGGAGTCCACCGCGACAACGAACTTGTAAGGGGCACCCCAGTTCTGGAGGAAGTTTCTCGTCAACTTCTCTGTGGGTACTAAAACATGTTAGCAACGAGCTTTGTGGAAGAGCTTTGAGTGAGAACCCACATCCGGCATGAACCACGGAGTTTCTGGATAGATCGAAGGTTTCAACAGACTCGTTAGAGATCTTCCACATCTCATCAGGACCGCCAGGCTGGGCATTGATCTCTTGGTTCGTGCGGATGATGCTGACCGAGCCAATGATTTTACTGGAGTCGCTGGGATCCGGAAGAAGAAACTGTTCAACGGGACAGCCATTGATCTGGGCATGGTGCTGCAAAATTCCCGCATCGAAGAGTCTAGACCCTTGGCCCAGGATCCTCTTGACACGAGCCTCCTCTTGGAGGACATTCTGCAGAGGGAATGCAGCCGGCTTAGCCATCAAGACAAAGTTGCACACTGGGTTCTCATAGGCCCAATGTGTCCAGTCAATTCGTCTCGAGCAGCCGTGGCACTGAGGACAGACAATGCCCTTCCGCATCTCACTTTCAGTGCCCAGACAGCCTTCCATGGATGGAAGGTCAGGTCGAAGAGGCTGCTCGGGGAGTTGAAATGAAGTTCTCTCCTGGAGAAAGCTCTCTGAGTAGTCCAGGCAAGCAACATCCACTCCAGCTGGAAACGTAAAGAACTTCTTGCACTTGCGGTTCAGACAGGTCCATCCGGCAGAGAAGACTGTCTTGCAGTGCTGGTGGCAGTCGATGCACCAAGCGAGGGTTGCGGAATAGTGAGAAGCGGCTGCAAGTTCCATGATGTCAATGTCCGAAGAGAAGGTGAATGAATCTTCGCAGCGAGCATTCAGGCAGGTCCAGCTCTGGATGAAGTGCTGCTTGGACATTCTCAAGCACTTGCCACAGGTTTGGCGAATGTCACTGAACTCCCGAGGGTTGACAGTGTGTTGGACTTCAGCCTTTGCCTGCCACCAAGATGGTGTAGAACGGTCGATCTTCTCAAGTCGAATCTTGTGAAAGAGCTGTCCATTGGCGTCCTTCTCGGACCAAAGGTCAGTGATGGTGAAGAACGCCATGACGTTGTACTTGTGCTCCGTGGCAATGGACAAGTCGGGGTACTTGTCATCTACTTGTGAATGAGTACGACGTCCGAATAGTGTTCATGCAAAGGATTGACTTACCTAAGATGACGCCGACGGGCATTGCTTCCATCATGGAAGCTTCGGCAGAGGACCAGTTTCTCTCTTTGCTCTCCCTGACTCGGATCATGTTGCCATCAGCACCACGCTCTCTACCGCCACCACTGTCATAGATTAGAAATTGTTAAGCGAAAGGAACTTGGGAATCACCTACAGCGTAGTGATGATGACCTCTGTATCCATGCGGTCTCGAACTGTAGGAAAGCCGCCGAGGAGGAATCCCACCACGGTATTTTTGTTAGTGTGGGCACTGCTCTGGTGGGCCTTGTAGTAAGGCAGGGCATCACAAAGAGCCTGCCGGGTTCCAGCCCAAACGGGGGGTTTTCCAAGAGACTCAGGCTTCTTGTTGATGTCGGCCATCTTGCTTGCCGGGTACTTGAATTGATAGAACGGAGGGGATACTGCTATCGATCGTGAAGTCACGTGGGTTGAAGAACGATCGCAGCCTTGAAGTGAATTTCAAGATGGGCTTTGGACAAAGAAGGTCCGAATGGTGATTCTAGGTAAAGTAAAAGGAGGCAGAAAACGGTTGGAGGGAGTTTACTTTGTACGAAGAAGGGCTTGAGAAGACATGGGAGAAGTATGAGGAATTAGAAGATTGTAACTGGCGATCAGGCTGTGTTAGATAAAGAGGCCGTGCTCTTGGACAGCGAGACTATGTGTGGTTGGTTATGGATGAGAGATGTGAGTATGTGTGAGGGAAAAGTTGGATAGTGTGTGAGGGAGAGAAGTGGAAGTACCTTATGCGTGGGGGAGAAGTGGAAGTGTGGATGTGTGTGTGTGTGTGTGTGTGTGTGTGTGTGTGTGGGAGAAGTGAGAGTGTGTGCAAGAGAGCAGTGCGATTGCGGAAGAAAGCCTCTCTCAAATACCCTCCGGGGCGTAGCAGGGCAACTATAAGAAGGAACGAAGAAGTAGTGGGAAGTCCAAAGGCAGGATCGCAGTATGAAGAAGAAGGAGCGGGGAACAGACCGCAGAGCTAAAGGCAGAATCGCACAGCGAACTGAAGAAG